AGGCAGAGCAGCCCTTCACATTATTTCCTGAAGCAGCGAGCACTGCTCTCCAGCCTCAATCTCTCTTCTACAAGCATGGTGCCCTCCACAAGAACCCCCATCACCCCCCCTCCCTAAAGAAGACACGAGCTCCAGGGAGCACAGGTCCAAGAGGGCTTTGAGCAGCCCAGTTCCAGCTTGGATTGTTTCCCCCCACCCCATCCTCCAACCAGTTCTGTGCTGTTGTTCCATGAAGGGCCACAGAAAGCGCATGCCCAGCGCATCTCCATACACTAGCCCAGGTGGCAACTGCATTCCCAGGGCCCCCCACATCCGAGGAGGCCCCCAAGGCAGCCAATGAAAACAATTCAAACCAAGATGCTTTAAACGGAAAGAAACATTAACCCCACTGAAATGACCACCAACCACATCAAATCATCAAACCCAGCAAAGGGGGGGGGGGAAGCATCAAAGTGTCCAGTGATCAACAAGCAGGCAAACAGCAACTGATTCAAAATGCCCCCCCCCCATGACCAGTGGAACCACCAGGCCCCCTTCATTGGCCCTACAGAGATGTCAGGGAGTGGTTTTGGTCATCTGTAAACTCTGGTTTGGGCAGAGGGGGTGAGAAACTCCCTGCCTCTCCTCCTCCTCCCTCTGGGGCCTTCTTGGCAGCCTGGGTTGCCAGCCTCCAGGTGGTGGCTGGAGATCTCCTGCTGTAATTGATCTGGCAACAGGGATCAGTCCCCCTGGAGAAAACAGCCACTTTGGAAGGTGGACTCTCGGGCCTTATACCCTCCTGCGGTCCCTCCCCTCCCCCAATGCTGCAATCCTCATTCGGTCCTGAGGGGGGAAAGATTCTTGATGGTATCTTTAGCATCAAAAACTTCATGGTAGTGACTATAACAACTTTCATTTTACTCAGTTAAGATGAGATGCCATAAGGTAAATTTAAAAACTCTTTTTTCAATATATTTTAAAGGATTTTTTCATTGTTCTGGGATATTAACTGCTTTGCAGAAGAATAAATGTTTCTTATATCCAATTATTCTTGCCCTGCAACAGCCTGCAGAGGCCGGGCGCCCCCCCTTCCCATTCCTTATCAGATACAGACCCATCACATCTGACATTTGATTAAACTATCCAACTTCCATTCAAAGTATCTAAAACATGCTTAATTAAGAGCAAGCTGCTCTTTATAATTGAATTCAGCTATTATAACATAATATTGTTCAGTGGAAACCAGATAGAACTGGAATATTTGTCACTTTCCTAAATGTGTACACATATGAAATTCTGACTTCAAATGAATGGCATCTGTCCAACAGTTTAATGCTTGCTATCTCTCTCTCTATCACTCTCTCACACACACACTCCTGCTGCATTAAATTGTGTGCTTGATTTCTTGTATACTTGATTGCGTACTTGATTTCTTGTATACTTGATTTATATGAACTAATTTGGTTACTAAAAAAAAATTAAATTAAATGTAGCCCTGATACCAGGGGAGGAAAAACCATTCTTTACTGCTTTTAACGTTTTAGGTTGCACTTATAAAACTGGCATTGCGCTTTTATTTTAAGATCCCAGCAGCACGTACTATACAGATCCTTATGAAGATATCTCTGTGTTTTGCTTTGAAAAAATAATATTAAAAAACAAATGCATCCCCCCCCCCCATCTCCAGGTATTTCTGCACCCGGAGCTGCCAACCCCAGGAACGCCGGCAGCAAGGAGAAAGGGCAAGAAGGGGAGGGTCCCAGCCAATGGGGGGGGTTGCTGACTGGGACTGACCAGCCCAGGCAGAGCCCCTGGCGTGCTCCGCGTCCAGCCCCAAAAGGGGTGTGCCTCACTTTACCTATGGCGACGGCGGTGCCTTTCTTTGCTCGGGAGGAGCATACAGCTCTGTGTCTCCCGTCGGCTCTGCCTAAGGCAGCTCAGTTCAGCCCTTTATAGGGTGGGCTGAAGGTCCGGCGGCTCTACCGGGAAGGACGCTCCCCTTCAGGAAAAGGCGCCCTGAAAGCACGTGCGCACACACCTTCTCTCTCTTCGTTCAAGCCTGTGGGGGGAGGTCAGAGACTTGGAGGGGAAGCCATCAAGCTCTGCACGGTGGGGGGGGGGGGAAGCAAGAGGGAGGAGGGGTGGTGGTCCCAACTTCTTACCCTGGCAGCAAACCAACTGCAGCGGCGGTGGCATGTCCCTGAGCCCTATGGCCGGGCCTTTGGGGCAGAGAAAGGTAGCTGTGAAGGCGGACAGCTCGGGTGCAATGTTTCCCCACTCCCCACCTACCAAGAAGGGCCTGGAAGAGGCTGCTCTGGAAGATGCCAATGACGCGCTCGACGGAGCTCTGGAGCTGCCAGTCCTGGGCGGCAGCATGGCCGCTGCTGCTCAGCTTGGCGCGGTACTTCTCCAGCAGGCACAGCGCCTGGTGGGTGTCTGCAACTGGGGGGGAGAGAGTGGAAGCATAAGCTGCCGCCTCCCAGCACCAGAGAAGGAAAACAGGGGGGAAGAGGCTCCACTCTCGTGGCTCAGGCAGGGTGGCGGCGGCGCTGCGTGATTTAGAGCGAGATGCAGGGGGGAGGCAGTGGGGATCAGGCCCGCACCGCTGCCTCCTCCTCCTCTCTGCGCCACGACACCCTGCGCCTGACCTCCCCTGGATCCCACGCCACCGCCCCCGACTCTGTCCCCCACTTCCCCACACCAGGAGAAGAGGGGACCTGTCGCTGCTCCTGCCCGTGAGGAGGGACCGGCCGGGGCTGCCGCCCTTTGCACGTGCTCAGAGGCACTGCCGCCTCCTTGCCCCCCCCCCCGCGGATCCCAGCCTCGGCAGGCCATTCTCAGGCCCTGCGCTCCAGCGCTGGGCCCGAGAAAGGTGACGCTGGTGGGGGGGGCGCCCGGCCTATGCAGGCTGACGACGGCAGAGGCAGGAGGGCCCCCCCAGCCTCGTCAGGCCTTTCTGCCGCTGCCTCTTCCTCCTTTCTGCGCCACGACGCCCTGTACCTGACCCCCCTCCGGATCCCGCACCACCGCCCCCAACTCCACTCCCCGCTTCCTCACGCCAGGTGGAGAAGGGGGACTTGTTGCTGCTCCTGCCCACAAGGAGGGACCCACCAGGGCTGCTGCCCTTTGCACGTGCTCAGAGGCAGATCCCCCCGAAAAAGATGACGGCAACAGCAGGAGGGGTGCGCCCGACCTCGGCAGGCCTTTCTCAGGCTCTGCACTCTGGCACCGGGCCCAAGAAAGGCGACATCAGTGGGAAGGGGGGGCGCCCAGCCTCTGCAGGCTGACAGCAGCGGTGGCAAGAAGGGGGGGCGGCCTCGTCAGGCCTTTCTGCAAGCCACAACCTACCTTCCTTCTGCCTCCTCGTGGCCCGATTGGGAGCAGGGGGCAGGGCTTGGTCATGTGCTTGCCCCCGAGCGCCTCACTCCCAGAGCGCCGCTCCGGTGCACTCCGGGGCCAATCGACCCCTGGTGACACCTTAAAGCTTCCATTCACCAATAGCACTTCCATCTTGTTGGCATTAAACTTCAGTTTATCAGTCCACATCTACTCTCAAACTGCCTCCAGGCACTGGTTCAGGGTTTCTACAGCCTCCATGGGATCAGCAGAAGTACTAGATAGAGCTGAGTGTCATCTGCATTGATGAAAACCCAGCCTAAATCTCCAGATGACCTCATCCAACAGTTTCATGTAGATGTTGAAAAATATAGGGGAAAAGATCAAGCCTTGTGAGACCAAGGGGCTGATCAGCATCCCCACAGCACCACCTTCTGAAACCTACTCTAAAGGTAGGACTGAAAAGACCGCTAAAACAGTGCCTCCTAGCCCCAAACTGGAAAGATAGTCCAGGACTTTACCATGACCAATGATTTCAAACACCAGTGAGAGCTTCAGGAGAATCAACAGAGTTGCAGTCCTTCTGCCACAGGTACTCCACCAGGGTGTCAAAGGACATTTCAGTCCCATAACCAGGTTTGAAGCTGGATTGGAAAGGATCCAATCCGCTTCATTCAGGAATGCTTGAAGTTGTTCATCCACCAGCCGTTCAATCACCTTGCTCAAGAATGAAACATTTGAGACTAGTAAACAGTTACTGAAATCTCCTGGCTCCAGGGTAGGCTTCTTTAGTACCGGGCACACCACAGCCTGTTTTAAGGCTGGGGGCAACTACCCCCTATCTCAAGGAGACATTAAGCACCTCTTCGACCCAGTAAGCCAGCCAGACCCACCCTCCTAGCAGATTTAAGAAGCCAGGAAGGGCAAGGGTCATACAAACAGGTGGTAGGCCTTAAACCTCCAACGACCCTGTTCTTATACTCAGGCTGAATTAAATTGAAAAGTATCACAAATAACTGGACAAGCTGGCACCCTGGCACCATCTGACAGTGTCAGTGCTAATACAGAGTCCAAGTGGGCACAGAGGCCATACAAAGAATGTTTAAAGTGTTTATAAATCATACTTTCCATTAAAAATGCTGAAGACCAAATGAATTCCAGTTGTTACATATACCAAAAGAATATCTATGAAAGAAATATCTGGGTGGATTTCATTTTTATTTCCTTAGACCTCACTCCAAATTGGCAAATGTTCAAAATCTTTTTTAAAATGTTTTTATGTAGAAGTTACACCTTTCAAAAGATGGAATAAGGTGTGAAATGCCTGCCCAAAGGACCTCTGTTAAGGGACATAATAGCAATGGTGGTGGTGGAAAGTGCCATCAAGTCTCAGCTGATTTATGGTGACCCCCACAGGGGTTCTCAGGGCAAGAGACGTTCTCAGGTGGCTTGCCACTGCCTGTCTCCGTGTCATGAGCCTAGCATTCCTTGGAGGTTTCCCATACAAATACTAGCCAGGGCCGACCCTGCTTAGTTTCTGAGATCTGACAAGATTAGGCTAGCCTGGGTTATTCAGGTCAGGATATAATGGCAATGCTGCCACTTAACGTTGCGACGTAAAATTCATTTATGAAATTGAGAATAAATGATCCAGTGCAGGCATACCCAGCCACACAAAAGCTTACCTTTTCCAACAATGCATTCTGCCATAATCGAAAGACACTGAGATAGCTTCTGTCCCTAGCATTGAATGAAGTGAAGAAAAACTGCAGAGCAAAATGATAATGATAACGTGGATTATCATTTGATAATGCAGAGCAAAATGATAATCTACATGTTGTATTATTGTACAATTGTATTATTATACTGTTGTAATATTATATTATTATACATATATACTATTGAACTGTTGTACTAGTGTTCTATTATACATGTTGTACTATTGTACTGTTGTACTATCATAAAGTCCTAAAGTCATACATCCCTGCCCATATTTAATGTATTTTTAAACAGAGTTATTAATAGAGTTTTTATTTTATCTTATGACCAACTTGTAGGCCTCTGAAGAGGCAGCATATAAATGATTCAAATAAAATATTTTCATAATTGCTTTTAACCTCTGATTTGCTTGTTTTTGATTATTTCAGCTGTTTTTGAGGATTTTTATCCTGGTTAACTGTGTATTTTTGGTTCTTCTTATCCTACTGGCGTTTCATTGCTCCTGTAGACTATCTCAGGAACACTTCTGGGCTCAGAGTACAGTCTAAAATAGAAGTATTGAATATGCAGCCCGCAGGACAGATCAGGCCCTCAGAGGGCCCCAATCCGGCCCACAAGGACCTGGCTGTTTCTTACTTCCTTTTCCAGTTCTCTTGCTGCTGCAACATCACAGCTTGCTTTACCAGTCTCTCTCAATCGCACAGGAGAGATAGATGGCAAGCCCTAGCTGGTAAAGCACTAGCTGAGGCTCCTCCCCCTCCTCCTCCCAGGAGGAGGGAGGAATCAATCAGAGCTCGCTTCCTGGCCAGGCTGCAGGAGACAAAGGGAAGCCTTTCTTTCCTTCCACTGATTGAGGCTCCTCCCTGAAGGGAGAAAGGGAGGGAATGAGGGAGAGCTTGCTTTGCTGGGCTGCCTCAATCACACAGGAGAAACACCAAGCAACTTTAAGACCAAAAAAAGTTTTGTTCAAGGTATGAGCTTTTGTGTGCCTTGCTACAGTGTGTGTGTTTTGTTGGGCTCTTTATGCCAGGGCTCTCCCGGGTGCAACTGGGTTCCCTCCCCCTTTTCACTGTATTCATGCCCTAATGATCCAGTCTGTCTCAGTAAGAAAGCAATGTGAACTATTTTAGAGGAGGAATAACAAGCCAGTGAGGTGGATTAGGCTGTCCAGACCAAGTTTACCAAGCACAGTTCCTTTGTAGGAAGTTGTAGTTATTTAAAAACAAACAAACAAATCTGGGAGGCGAAATCCAAGAATGCTTGAGTATTTGATCTGTGGCTAGGGAAGAAGGATGTATACCATGTCAAACCACATGCCTCTAATCAAGGTGCAACTATATATGTTTGTTATTCTGGCTCACACTTCCATCATGCTGACCAAGGTAACTCAAATTAGAGAATGGTGTACTACACAAATTTTAATGAAAAAGTCAACATTAATTTAAACAGCAACACACCTTCTCTCCTTCAGTAGCAATCTGGATGGCATTTGGGATGAGCCGAGCTGTCTTCTCCTTTGTCATGAAGGTTATATCCTTCAACGCAATAGAAATCTGAAGTACAAAAACACAGATACACCCTGAAGCATATAAAACAAGCAATGTAAAATAGGAACTCAGATTTCAAGAGAGAACTCGGGAGCCATAACAACATAGCTAACATGGACAATCATCACTATGAGGCAGCTGTTTTCAAACTTTTCTCCTCTAGGGAATCCCCACCTGCATCTTCTTATCTACTGAGGAACTCCTGGGTGCTACAGAATATTCTGCAGCATGTTCTAGGCCAGTGGCAGTCAACATCTTCATATCCAGGTCCCACTAAGCACAGGACCAACAGAACAGCAAACAGGTAATAGGAAGTTATCTGACACCAGAATAACATGACAGGAAGTAGAAGAACCAAAGTTATGACCTCACTGGCATCAAGGCCCAGTCTTTGGGTAACAGACCTGGACCTGGAAACACAAGTCAAGCAACAAGAGCTTTAGTGAGGAACAAGTCAAGAATCAATAACACAGAGGACTCTTCTCCAACTGATAAACAGCATTGACACATCATCCTGTTACTCCCCTCAGTGTGCACAAAGGGAGTCAGGAGGCATGATTCATTCTCTATGTGTGTGTGTTAGCAGCAAGCCATTCCAAAGGGTAGCAAAAAAGAAATAAAAGGTGTTTTTTATGAAAGAGACAACCTGAGGTGTGAAAGGGTCATGACTCCCTAAATTTTAAAAGAATCAAGAAGGGTGGCAAGTTTGACCTACTGATAAATCATAACCTGAAGAAGAGAGGTTGTAGAGGATGGTAAGCATTCTGTGTGAGTGGACAAGGGTTGGCATATAAATTGGTGCCATAAGTGGTGGGATGCTACCCCCAGTTTGGAGGTGTCCTTGAGGTAAAAAGCACTGGTAGAGAACACCTGTTGCTGTGTGTGAGGGGAAAAATGGCCCTCTTGAGGTAAAAGTTCCAGGTAACACGTAACAAGGCACAGTAAAAATAATCCTAGGCAGTTTAAAAATGGGAAAAACAAGTTGGCAGAAAGTATTTGCCCTGCTGAGGTAAAAATTTCTGGTAAAAAGTAAGTAGGAACTATAATAAAGATCCTAAATACTAAAGAAAATAACAAACAGGTTTGGGAAGAAGATTGACACTCCCAAGAAAATGAAGCCTGCTGCAGATAAAGATGTTGTTGCCAGAGACTTCAGGCAGTGACAGTGAGGTGGAGAGAGACTCAACATAGAAATATGGAAAACTAAGGAGCTTAATTGGCTAAACTTCAACAACAGAAAGAACTTGAATTACCATAAGGAGAGGAATGAAATGAATTAGCCAAAATAGCAGCTAAAAGAAAAATAACTGGAATTAGAAATTCAGAGATTAAGAGTGAGAGAATTTGAACTGGAGGGAGAGTTCAGACAGCTCGTAGGGTCCAGGTAAATAAAATCTGGAGTATCATGCAACACTTGCAAAATCTACACATAACATAAATTACAGAACAAAACTTCATTCTGACAATTTATTAATACACTGCCCCCTCCTCCACAGGAAATGAAAGGTATCTCAAGAAACAGTAAACTATGGTACAGATCTCTTCAGAAATCATTACCACAGTCATTACACATGCACACACCAAGTCTTACCGTGGTCTCCCATCGGAATATATTGCTGTAGAAACACAGCCAGTTTTCAGAGAGATACAGGCGTCCTTGAAGGAGGATATCCTTCTGGAGGGCACAGGCATAATCTAAAGAATGAAATAAGGCACATGTTTTTATAGTTAGCAAGACTCAGCTAAATTCAAGATTTGCCTGATTAATCAATGCCGTATTTCCATGGGACTTCAGTTAGTTTATTGTTAAAATGAAGGTGATTTCTTCCAAACATGTTATACTCAGTGCAATTTCTGACATTACTTTTAAAAAGAACTAGGCGCAATTATATTGTGCAGAGGTAAAATAGCATGTGATTCATTCCTCACCAAAACTACATGATTAAGAACTATGTAAAGTGGTTGAAAAAGGCATTACTGTACTGAAAAACACAGGTGCGTTTTCTCCTGGACACTCCCGCATATCTAAAAGTACCGCAAAATAAGTCTGCAGGCACTGTAAAGACTAACCACATTTATTCCGACATAAGCTTGGGTGAGTCCACTCTTCTTCAGATGCATATGGAGTACATAATCATTTTACAGTAGGTCTGCCATTCCCTTACTGGTGGTGCAAAATTCCCCTCTCCTCATGGGTGCTTCCCCACCACCTGAATGGTGGGGGGGGGGGATGGCTAGAAATGGGGGGTAATGTTGGCAGTGTCCCAACATGCTGAAGTCACTCTCAGCCTGGAAGTGACATCAGTGCATTGTCAGGGGATGCTCTTTTGTCCAAATACCAGAGTATCCCTGACTCTGAGTGATGTGCTGACATCACTTCCAGGTGTACAGTGAGTGATGTCGGCATGTAGCTGGTAAGCCTGGCAAGCCTATTCTACAGAGGACTTTAGAACCAGTAGTTACACACGATTTTGGGAAGGGGGGCAGAGTTATACCAATGAAAAAGAGAGACAGCTGTTGCAAGTCATTTAGGTCTGAGTCCTTGCCCAAAGAGACTGGAACTAATTGTTGCTCTTAACGAGCAGTAGAATTTAGATACAGAAAGATCCGATTAAAACATTAATAAATCCACTCAGAGTGGTTGGAGAAGAGGATAGGATTAGGATAATAACACAGAATTCGGGGAGCACCTCAAAGGCTAACATTTATTCCAGCATGAGTTTTTGTGAGTCAGAGCTCACTTCTTCAAATGCTATGAAGAAGAAACCAAATGCCACATTTTATAGGGAAAATTATAGAAAGAGGGCGAAAGGGACTAGTTTCGGGCAGAGAGAGGCTTCGTATGAATCCCATTACAAATCTTTCAGGTGTGCAACGGACTGAGGGTTGCAGATAATGGATGACAAAAGAGGACAGAGGTTCCAGACTCTTTCTCATGGGTGTGGATAAAGAAAAAGGAGGATAAATAACAACTAACTGAGGAAGAAATAATTTGAAGCTTAAGAAAATTAAATTACATTAGTCAACTATTACTTTTTCCTGTTCCCACGGCTTTGCCCGCCTGTCCCCTCCCATCCACTTCTGTTTTATTTTGCTACTATAAGATACAACATGATGTAGTATGACTACAGCACAAGGAGAAGACTCAATTCACATCTTAGTTTGGCCAGGGATCCTGGAGGGTTTTTTTACCATTTTCTGGCTTCACAAAGACTTGAAGTTTGCTGTTCCTACATTACAAATTAAAAGCTAGACATGATTCTCTCCTCCTTTAAAGAGGACTTGTTCCAATTTTAACACCTGCCAAAGCCTCCAACTACTTGCCTCGCATTTTAAAATCAGAATGCTCCATTTGATAGGGTTGCCAACCTCCAGGTGGACCCTGGAGCTCTCCCAGATTCACAACTGATTTTCAGATGACAGATGAAATGGCAGTTTTTGAGGATAGACTCAATAGCATTACATCCATGCTGAGCTCCCTCCCTAAACTCTGCCTTCCCCAGGCACCAACTCCAGATCTCCGACTCCAAGTATTACCCAACCTAGCCAGAATGGAGCACAACTGTTTTAGGGCTTCTAAAACTGTGGCAGGGCACAATATCATGACACTCAGAGGTCAGAGTAGGCCCCTTTTAAATTAATAATTTTATTTTGAATACTAAGTTATGACTTTGCATACTCCCTGACTGGCAGAACTTGCCATTGGATGGATTAGCCTATTATAAATCTAGACGTTTAATTTATTCTTCAAATACAGGATGATTGAAGTATGCAAACTATCTCTTCAAAGTGTCAATTTGCTTTCTTTTACTACACCAGTGCAAACAGAAGCTTATAAACTTAGACTAAAGTGGTTGTTTGATGTGGGCTATTTTAAACAGTCAACCCTCCCAGTTCATGGTATGAAATACTGCTTACATTTCAAGAATGGTTTTAAACATTAAAGCCAAGTTAATTTGTGTCCTGGGCAATTCTGAAAGCGGCTCAAAATGCACATGCAAAGATAAGAGGATTTGCAAGGGCCAAGCCAAATGAATAAGGATTTGCAGAATGTTTTGAGAGGAAAATGAAAAAAAATCCAGAAAATTAAAGACAGTGTCAAACCCAGAGAAATAAAATATAAGTATATAAAGAACAACTGGATTTAAATTAGCAAGGTGTTATAAAATGAACATTTGCAAGTGAAGCACAATCAAAGACCATTTAAAAGTACTGCTTAATTTTGGGGGGGGGGGAATCGGCACAATTGGCCATTCACAGAAGCTGCTCAAAGATAATACTGTGAACCAGGGCTATTTTTGGGCAGGAACGCACAGGAACGGAGTTCCAGCTGGCCCCCAAGTTGACCACACCCAGCAGGAACTCATTAGCATAATAGGCCACACCCAACAGCAGGAACTCATTAGGATTGGCTACATTAGGGGTGTGGCCTAACATGCAAAGGAGTTCCTGCTACAAAAAAAGCCCTAGGTTTTGACAACAAACAAGGTAAACAGAATAAGAAGCAAAAGGTGGGTGTGGCTGGATTACTATACTTCTGGTAACATGGGGGTGCAGCCTAATATGCTAATGAGCTATGCTCTCATGGGTGTGGCTCGATGTGCTAATGAGTTTCTGTTGTTGGGTGTGGCCTATTATGCTAATGAGTTCCTGCTGGGCTTTTTCTACAAAAAAAGCCCTGCTGTGAACTGAATCTATGCAAGAACAACTAATAAAGGATGAAAAGGTTTATTCTGCTACCAAAGACCAGCCACTTTCTGGTGTTTTAAGCATTATCAGCAAAATGTCCTAATAGAGGAGAAGTGGGTTGATTAATTCATACTGAAGTGGAGTATGCTTACCAGGTGTCTGCTTAATGACTGGCAAACTCCTGGTGATGGTTGCCAATGCCCACCGAAGCTCATCTGGTCAGCGGGTAGATGAAGGATGGCAAAATGGAGGGGTGATCTTCATCACTGTGCAATGACATCACTTCCTGCACAACCTGGAAGTGCTAGCACTTGCCCAGAAACTCCATACAGTATTGGGGCAAGTACTCGAGCATCACCCTAATGCAATGCTGGCACTTCCATGTCATGCCAGAAGTGATGTCATCATGTGGCAACGAAGACCACTGTGCCCCCCACAGTAAGTACCAGTCTCACCTCATCTCCTGCCAGCTGCTGCCTGGCAACAGTAAATACTGGGAAAACTGGTGTTATTATATCTACAATCACCATAGAGCTGCTGGGCATCTTTCTTTCCTTTTGTCATTAATAGAAAGGTTTTTTAATTAAAAACTGTGTTCACAAACAGTTCCTTCTATATTCAGCATGTAGCTCATCGTTAATAAATGTTTAAGTTGTAATCCCTAACCTGGATGGCCAAGGTTAACCTGATCTCATCAGACCTTGGAAGCTAAGCAGGGTTAGTCCTGGTTAGTATTTCGACAGAAGACCACAAAGGAAGTCCAGGGTTGTGACGCCAAGGCAGGCAATATCAAACCACTTCTGTTCATCTCTTGCCTTGAAAATCCTACAGGGTCGCCATAAATTGGCTGAGACCTGACAGCACTTTCCACCACCACCAAGTAGTACATTCTCATTCACAGTCACCAATGACACAATGTTGGGCTCAGTGAGGAAGTAGACAGAAACCCTGATTTTATATAAAACTTTAATATTAATACTATCTAGCAACTGTAAAGCATTTTCAAGAGTTCAACAACAAATTCAATAACACTGTAAGCTAGGTGAATATTATCCCAATATCACAGAGGAGAGGTATTGATGAGAGAGAGGTTTTGTCTAAGACCACCTAATAAATTAATGGCAGAAGCAGGAGTAGAACCTGGGATTTCTTGATTCACAGAATCTCTTAGCAGCTGTACTATACTAGCTTTCTTACCATAGGAGTTCAAAATTAATAAATGGGTCCTTTCTTTGAATTTCCGTCCTAGATTCAATTCTTGCTGTGCTTTCTTTCAGATTTCTCTACAGCCACAAATTCTAGAAACTTACCCTTTAAAAGAAAAAGAAAGTGGCCATTCTGGGGATTCCAGTAGAAGTAGTAGTAGTAGTAGTAGTAGTAGTAGTAGTAGTACCAGTACCACCACCACCATACTACCTAACCCATTGAAGTACCTTACCTACAACAAGCCTTTCCAAATCTGGTAGGTGTGGGAACTGTCTTTTAAATTCTTCATTCCTGTATTTGTAAGTAGAGCTTGAGATCTGCAAAAATGAAAAGTTTTCAAGGATAACCGTGAGCATTTTTAGTCACCTAGGACAGTCTTGTAGAACATAAAAAACAGAACTGGATAATTTGATTTCACTGTCTGCTTATGATTTAGAGCAGTAACTTAAGCACCACAAATATATTATTCACTCAGTATGCAAAACAAACATTAGGGATGTTATCAAATTTTGTAACAATTAGGTTCAAAAGCTCAAGTTTCCATGACAGTTTCTTCACACTTTGGATGGAACAGCAGTTGTCTTTTTGCTTGGCCACATTAAAAAACTCAACAAATAAACTGCTGCTAAAAATGATTCCTGTTATTGCATATGCTGTGTCTAAATAGGTTTTTTTTAAGGCAAAAGCAGACATTTGACAAGGAAAGTTGACAGGCTGAAAAATGGTCTTCCCAACTATGTACAAAAATTAAAAGAAACATAATGATTTCATATCCCTAACAACCATGCACTGCTATAATGATATTTTGGCTTGTCATCTACACAAACCCCTGACAAGACTGAGATGCAGTTTTAAAAACCATTAGATAGTCTACCTAATGACATTAATGAATACTGAAACGTATTATTTTGCATTGATCCCATTTCTAAGCTGGCCTTTGCAGTGTGGGAGCTACTGCACACAGCTTCTTTCCACAACAATAAGGTAATGCAAGAAATCCCAGTCGTTCAGAAGCTGCTCTCCCTGCATGTCCTGCCCATACCTATGTTTCTCTTCCTGCCAGCTACTGGCACAAAGCACAGCAGTGATACTCAATGGCTCAGATACTCTTTGACATGCCACATGTGGCTCTTTGGGGCATTGTTCTCCAATGTGCCAGCCTCCCCATGCTTCAGGATAGTGAGCAAGGCCATTGTGCTTTAGAGCTTGCGATTGATAGTGGTTCCCACACCTTGAAACTTTTTTTATTAGAGTTTCATCCCCCAGTATGATGGTGTCACTTCTGGGTCGTGAAGGAAGTTGCATCATCAGATGGGGATGATGATTGCTGTAATGTATTCAGATGCTGCCATGAATGCATTAGATGTAATGTGAAACATCTCATTGGGAAGCAATGTAAAGCTTCGTCTTGGACAGGGATTCAAGTCCAAGACAAATGCGTCCAATCACATGCAAGCAAGCTGGAAGCGGGAACGTGTGTGATTGGTCCTTATGCGATCAACCTGATAGGTTGTTATCTGTAAAGTAGGAGTGGCTATATTAGCCGGGAATGTTTAAATACCGAGCAGTTTCAATGGGCAAACTGTTCGGGCTATCAGATGTTGTCCCATGTTGGAGAAGTGATCGTGTGGAAGAATAAACTTGAGTTTTGGCTGAAATCACTCTCTGACTCTTTGTTAAGCTCAGGACTTAACAATTGGCGACGAGGATGGGATACTAGTGCGGGTAGGCAGCCCCGCCGGTCCCCAACTCATGACGGACAAC